GAAATTTTCGAAATACTAATTTTGAACGGTATACTTTGACAAGTCGTAACATTTGCTACGATTGATCGTTTCGTATGCCATTAACGATGTAGAAAACTACACTGTGAGCACTTCGAAATGGTATTAAGAATGCAATATTTCAATTTCGTTTTACATCCCACAATGACTTTAAAAATTGAAACAAAAATATAGAAAATTTAATGGTGAAAAAAAGGGGGAGCAAAGTTGGGGGCGCCACCCCGCCCCCGCATCCGCCCATGAGTATAATTAGTGCAACTAAGAATAAAGAAAGAGAGTAAAACATTTTTGATTCTCAATTAATCACTCATAGCAATTTGCTCTTTTATCAATTTATCTCGAAACAACTGAAAAATAAATATTTTGTCGTTAAGGGTTGATCATACTCAAAACTTTCGTGTCTTCACATTGACACTCTATTCGAATGAGTTTAGCCAATTAACTAATTTTTTTATTATTTAATTTATGGAAGATGAAACGTAGACATCATATGAAAATAAATGGAATTTTTATACGAGAAACGTTAACACATAATTCCACAAGGGAAAGGACGATCTTCTAGAGTTCATTGTAAGGAAGGAATATTTTTCCTTTTTTGTATTTTCTCTTTGATTCTTGCTGTAATTAGTACTCACTATAGGAATCTAGAAATAAGAAATGATCAACACAACAAGTCTAAACTCCAAATATAATGATCACATTGAAATATTTATATTTTATGATAGTAGAATTAAGATTGAAGTAATTTATAGATTGTGTCAAATACGAAAGGACGAAATAGGTAGGTTTTGGAAGAGTTAAAAGAGGAAGTTGGACACGTAGGATGAAACTAGATTGAATCTATTTATTCACCTAAATTAAGGTTTAAACAATTTTTAAAATATAAAAATACTTTTGATTTTCTATTTGATTTTAAAAAATTGCAGTCTGCAGATATAATTGTGTTTATGTGATAAGCTTAAAAAAAAAAAAAAAAAATTATGCACGACCAGAATTCTCGTATTGATGAGCATAAGTTATTTTCTATATTACGAATTGTTAAAAATTGTTTGCTAGAAGGCACCAAAAAGGTTATTGAAATTTTAGACTGTATAAAAAATGATAAATTGCTTTTCATATGTGTGAATTGCTCGTAGAATATTACTAATTATACCAATTATAGTTGCATATGTCAAGAGGAGTTTCTCAGAATTGAAATTAATAAAATCCAAATTTTTGTCAGCAATGTCACAGAAAAGGTTGATTGTTTTGGCCATTATGTCTATTGAAAAATAAGTTTTAAAACAGATGGATTGTAATAATATAATTTTTGATTTTTTTATCAAAAATTTATAGAATAGTAAATTTAATTTAGACACTTGAAAGTTTTAGATTATTATTTTTGTAATTTTGAATATTTGTATTTAAAAAATATTATTTTATTTATTTTTATATATTTTTAGGCCAAAATATGATGGCCAACCGCTTTAACGAAAAATTGTACGCGCAATTAACCTTTAAGAACATCCACGTATAAAAATGCTACATGTAGGTTTAATAATATTTTAAATAGCCGCCAATGCCTTATTTCAAGTGTCAACATACTTTTTATTGGAGATAATTTTCGGTCAAATTTTAGAGCTTTGGTAATGATTATTAGGGTCTGTTTGGTACAGATTTTCATTTTCTACAGTAAATTAATTCTCATTTTCAACCACACATTCTTCAATAAAATAATATTTTCCATCACATCAATATTTTTTTCTTCTTTTTCAACCACACATTTCCCATCATATCACTATTCAAAAATCAAAATAATCAATTCTCATTTTCAACCACACATTCTTCAATAAAATAATATTTTTCATCACATCAATAATTTTTTCTTCTTTTTCAACCACACATTTCCCATCATATCACTATTCAAAAATCAATTCTTCCCCCCAAAAATCACTACCAAACACACTCTTAATAAGATGGCTTAATAATATATAAAGGGCTTGTGGTAACAATTTTTTAAACCAAAAAATCAATTTGTGTACCTTTTTTTGCACACCTTGGGCCCCACCATGAGACAACACAGTCAAACATTTAGGCTAAATAGTGCATACAACGGTTTGAATTATGTTTAAAATTTTTACCAGACACAACCAAAGTGAGAAAGTATACAAACAATGGTTTTATAGTTTAGTACATGTCTAGCAAACTTTGTAATGGTTTATAGGTTGGTAAAAACTTATTATATTCAAGTATTTCATATGATTCACAAATTTTAGTTACTTTTACTCATTTACTATCCTCACCTTTAGTAGAATGCACAACTTATAATCTAATAAAAGTTTTCCCAAATAAAGTTACAATCAACTAATTATGGTGAACTTCATTTCAAATCTTCTCTGTATTTTAACGAAGAGTTCGATAGTAGAATATGTTGATCTATAAAATCTACACGTCTTTGATGTCGATAGATCCATTGCCACTTCCATCTCCACCTGTACATTATTTGACACTCGAAAACAAATAGTTAGACACCAAAATTGTCATTCCAAGAAAAGGGACCGACAATCATTGGTAATCCGATGTTTAAATCAAGTGTCAGTATAAGTTATATGAAGATTAGGTGTGAGAGATACAAACAGACAGATTTGTAACTAGGGTTTTGATTTGTGTACCTTGAAATGAGAAAGAATCATGCATATAATAGTAAATATTGGGTTACTTTACTTAAGATGGACCATTAATAGGTATGTTGTCGACCTATCATAGTCTTAACCAAACACGAGTCGCGAAAAGTTGCCAAGGCATATCTGGCCCATTTTGATTGGCACCACCAATTCCTAGTCAAGGCCCAGGCAAACAATGTGGAGCCCATCTCACCACGTCCATGTCTTGTAAAATAGGAGTGTAACAATAGTTCTCCAAGTCCACGTAGGTAGACGACCCGTTAGGAAATAAAGCTTGAACTCATCATAACTCAAGGAAGGGGATGTCTTACGTGTAACATACATGTGGTTAGAGAGATGGCAAATGATATGTCGACTAAATACAACACAATCGGCATAGTTTATATTTTTAGTTTTAAAAATTTATTAAATGAGAAAATAATTTTCTTGAATTGGCGTGTTTATATTTTTGGTTTTTTAGGAAAATTACAAAAAATCAGGTATTTAAAGATTGCTTTTTAAAAATCAGATGCAAAGTTTATTTATTCAAAAATCGGGTAATATATTAAAACCCTAATCCTAATTCCAAACAAAACCTAAATCATTTTTCTTCTATTCATCCTCCTCTTCGATTATCGTCTCTCTCTCTCTCTGTCTCTACCCTCTTCCTTGCCGCCGTCGCCATTGAGGAGCGCCCACTATTGGAGAGTCTTACATTTCCGGTTGTGGAAAGAATTCTGTGAAATCTGGAATTGAAGTTGAGATGAATATATTACTGCACTTAACCTCTATTTTTGGGGATCTTGACTGAATTCTTTCCACAACCGGAAATGTAAGACTGACAAATCAAAAATATTTTCATTGTGTTTTCTAGTATATGTAGCATAAATGAACACACATTGTTTTGTTTCATATTTGCCCAGTCCTTGGAGATTGTAGTTGACGTGATGAGGAGACCATTTTATATAGATTCAACAAGATCTCCCTACTTTCTTGTTAGTGCTGATTGTCAGTGGTTTTGTTGGTGCTATTGTGGCAGTGGCGACGTGGTGAGAGTGGTCGAAAGTGGCCATAGTGGTAGTGGCGGTAGTCCGTGACCAAATGTTTGGTATTCTTTGACTAAATATTTGGTAATTTGTGACCAATTATTCAAATATGACCTAAAAATTTAATAATATGTGACTCAAAAATAATATATGACCAATTAATTTAAAAATTTGTTTTACCTCGAAATAATACAAATTTTTTGATCCGTGACCTCGAAATAATTTGTGATCAATTAATTTTAATATATGTTACATGTGACCTATAAGTATGTATATATGATCATTAATTATATAACTGTGATTTTAGTATATTTAATTAATAAATATTTTTAATTAATTAATTAAAACCTTATTTTTGCATTAATCAAACTTAAAACCTGATTTTTGAATTGTGTAGAGTTAATCCATGACTTTTGAACTCTTCCTTTTTTTTTTATCAAGCCAAACCCATTTTTATCAAAAATCGGTAAAATCGGACCGCTTACACCCCTACCAATTTGTTGTGAGGATTTGACGAGTTTCAAACAAACTAAAGAAAATAAAATTTATGATATAATTTTAAGAGAAAAATTGCACTTTCAAAATTCAACTTCTATAATTCAATTTTTTTGTGATGATGACATACTACAAAATAGGCAACATTTTAATACTACATTTGGTACATAAAAATTAATTGCTAATACATGAATAAATACCCATTAAAAATTTTAGATATATGAATAGAAATAAATTTATTCATTTATAATAATTCTAGATTCATCAAGTCCTATTAATGTGATCGTTAATTAATTGAGAAATAATAACACGAATTTCATACATGATAAGGACTTTATAGTATTAATTATATATTGAAAAACATAACGTAAGTTACTATTTAAATAATTAAAATAGTCCAAAAAATGATTTTGCTATAAAAATTATCAACTAGCAAGACATGGAAAATGGCCATTTCTACCTTCCAAAAGATAGATCCAGTACCAAATACAAAAATAAAAAAATAACTGGTTTTAACTAAATAGCACCACCAGGAGATCCTCAAACAACTACCTCACAAATACACAACGAAAGCCGGCAAAAACAAACTACAAATACCAGACTACAGGATGCTTGATCAGGTGCAGGGACAACACGACCTCTGGTTGTTAAAGTCGTACTAGGTCAACAAAAAATTGAATGCCTCTCCACGGGTCCTAGGAAAAGAATTGAGAACAACAGGCATTGCACTCGAAATATCCAAGAAAAATTTGAATGGCTGGCTACTTTCTAAAACCTCGAATCCTCAAAAACTGCAATCCTAAAGGACTACGGCAACTTTCTCCTGGGAAACAAGTGATGATGGAATAGCAATAAGAGGCTCATAATGATCAGCACCGGCACCACACCATCCTGCAGTGAGTCGTGAGGTTGGTTGTTATTAAATGTGTGGATGGAAATCGTAAAACGATGGCAACAAAACAAGTCAACACACGCAGTTTACCTGTTCCTTTCATGAACAGAAAGAAGGGAGGTTCGCACACTTCACTTCTTGGATGATGCGGTAAGAAGAAAACACAATTTTCTTCATCAACCATTGCATCAGATCCATGAGCTTGTACCTGTTAATATTTAATAAGGGTTTAGAAACAAGTTTCTTCAAACGTCTCAAGTGGACATTTAATCAACTAAGAAACATTTTTTGGAACTTTTTGGTGATATTCTCTACTTTTAGAAACTCTTGCACGAGTATCTACGTATATGAATTCCATTGATATCATATTCTCTCAGTACATTATCAGTAAATCCATTCAAAAAATGATACAACAGTATCAATTTTCAACAATGAAAGATTCAAGCCATGAAAAAACAAAAATCATAGTTTCTCCTTTTTTCAATTTTTTTCTCCTTGATTTTACATGGACCGACAAATCAGTGAAGTCATACATAGTACTAATAAGACTAGCTCAGGATGTGAGAACGGTTCAGGAACCAACCCAAGTTAAAATAGCCTCCAAAAATCGCAAGTAAATGAGCTAATAAAGACAACAAAGCAATAAAGACATTGCTAACCAACTAAGCCCCTGTTTGGTAGAGATTAAAATCAGATTTTTAGTAGATTTTGATTTTGGTAAAAGTTCATGAAATATGTGGTTGAAAAGTTGTCGATCATATGAAATGTATGATTAAAATTAATTATTGACTTGAAATTTTAATTGGATTTTAATCTAAACCAGGCATGGGCTAAGATGCCAAATCTATACATAAAGATACTACTGACAATGTTAGTTCAACAAACATTGTCATAACTTGCACCACTTATTGCATTGGGATTACAGCGAACAGCATATTGAGCAGGCGAAACTATGATGTGGCGTCAGATTCCGGAATCGAAAAAAATAATAGCACGCTATAACAATAAAAAAAGAAACCGAAGCAACATAAAGGGGAAATTTCCTCTTACCACAAATATCTCCCTTTTGAACTCGGTCGCAAGACATTCTATTGCAATGTCATCGCCAAAAGCAGCGGCACGCCCATCTCTATTCTCATCTAAAGTTAATAAACCCTCCTCAGTATATTGCAAAGTGATGATATCATAGTCATCATCAGGGCAACCAGAGATTGACATGTACTTGGCCCAACTTGGGCCATCATCCACAGCTATACATCTTTCTTTGTATATGGATTCCGCAGCTAATTCTCTTCAATCATCAATCAAAAAACCCAGAATCAAAAAGCAAAATCATACCTGTATAATACATAAATTCGAGCAACCACAGGAAGTTCAACTAAATGCAAAAGTTTATCCAACATTCAAGAATCCATGGGTCTATTCATTGTTTACACATCGAAAAGTATCCAATATCCTAACTTCACTACGCAACGAAGAGTATGAAAATGCTACAGAAACCAATAAAATAAATTCATTGGTTTTGAAGTATAATATGGCTTTGTAAGCTGAAATATTACTCGATAAAATTACGTTTATTACATTCATCCAGCAGAATATAGATATAAAAACCATCATAATTATTATTTGCTAAACTTTATTAACTTCCCATAAAATCGCTGAAATTAAAGTAAATTCTCAGTGAGTTTCTCTTCAATTCAGGTTGAATACAATAATTTATTAAAACTCTATTTTTCTCAAAATCAATCTCAGACACAAGATTTCTGCATTTCCTCGGACACCAAAAAAGGAGGAAAAAAGGTCAAAAAAAAGAATTTTTAAATCTGTCTAGAGTATATCTCTGAAACAGATCCTCAAATTTGAAAAGATATTTTCAAATCTTGAATTTATTTCAAAATTTATACATTCATTTCTCATATCTCACATTTTCCACTAGCCAAACAGTCCCAACAAAATGAGGGGGAAAAAAAGGAAAAAAAAATTTCCGACAAAAAAACCTTAGTGAGAACCCAAATCTAGAAACTGAAAATCTTGATTTTTGGGAAGAAAAAGATAGAAGAAAAATCAAGGAGTGAAAAAGATAAAGAACCCAAATCTATATATAACAAATGAAAATCCATATTTCTGGATCCATGAAAAAATTTAAGAATTTACATATACCTCTGCATGCCGATCTGAACAAGCTCATTGATGGAGGAATCCAAACCCTCACGATCTTGTTTATTCGTCAACATCTTAACCTCCTGAACCACGTGAATCCCCCAACCCGATTTCAGATCCGGTGCATACATGTGCCGAATCGCCGATTCAATCATCCCTTTAGTCTCCTCGTCCGCCGCTGCCAGATCCTCCAGGAATCTCCTCACAGACCTCATCCTCAGCTCCCTCGCCGTAGTCGCCGCCACCTCACCTCCCATCGATCTACGCGCAGCCGTGAATAAACAATTCCCATCTAACAATTCCCATCCGCCTCCACCTCCCCTCCATAGCTAAGCTTAAACACAATACTCAAGCTTTTGTCCTCTGGGTGCTTCCACAAAACACCCTTATTGTACAGCCTTGTCAAATGCTTCTTCTGCTGGTCCTCTAATCCAGACACATTTTCCCAGGATATGATATTTTCCAGCACCAGCGGCGCTGACTTTTCAACAATGTCTCCTACGGCGGTGGCGGCGGAGTCTAAAGAAGATGGGGTGGTGGTGGGGTCACGCCACGGGATCACCGGAGACGACGCCGTTGAATCACAGATTAGTTTTCCCATTTTTTCAAATTTCTTTTCTATATCAATATCTTGCTTTTCTTTTCTATATTTTTCTTTTCTTAAAATAGAGACGTTGGGTAGGTGTAGAGAGAGGGGGAAAGAAAGAAAGAAGAGAGAGAGAACGCGAATAGGGTTAACGGATAGATTTTAATTTTAGGGGTAGGTGCTTACGTGAACCGAGTGGATCAACCTCTTATCTGGGAGAGAAAGAAGAGAGAGAGAACCGGGGGAAAGAAAGAAGAGAGAGAGAGAGAGCGCGAATAGGGTTAACGGATAGATTTTAATTTTAGGGGTAGGTGCTTACGTGAACCGGGTGGATCAACCTCTTATCTGACTCAGGTATTGAGGACACCTGTCACGATGTGGTTAACGTTATTTGTGGTTCTCGAGCATTGGTTGTGACGGGCGGGGTTGATACTTGTTCAACTGTGGAAATTTGACGCAGTCAATATAAATGTTTATAAAACATTTTAATATATGTATATTTTTCTTAATTTTGGGTAGTTGAAGAGCATCTATTTTATGCTTTTAGCTTGGATGAACTTTTCCCAAATAAAAGAGGCTATGTATTGAGCCACGTGGCGCCACCTCCTTGTGTGTCCATTTTTATTTTTCTCTTTTTCTAGAGATAAAAAGAAGATATTTTCATTTATTAAAAAAGGGTAATGATGAATGTACATTCATTGGGCGTACATTCATTATGACACTCCCCTCACATGGAGAGGGGGGCCCGCGTGGGACCATCGACCCTATGTGAGGGGAGTGTTAAACTTGATGTACACAAAAGTGTATATCAAGTATTGTCCTTAAAAAAATTGTGTCATTTTAGTTTGATGTTAACCTTAGTAGTCTCTCACGTTCTCAGTTCTACTTCGATCTACTACTCTTCCTCTAATTATCTTCAAATTGTCTACAATATTGTCATATAATCTTTGTTGTCTTCCAATTTTCCACCATAATTTGTACACAGCTGGATGAGTTTCGTGTCGATGAGAAAATTTGTAATTTTTTTTATATTTCTTTTTTGTGGCTTTCTTTTTCCTTCGTGTGCGAATCATCCTCTGTGCCTTGCTTTCATTTATTGAAAAATATGGGGTTAAAAAGAGTAGATCGAAAAATTCATTTCGGATGAGCTTAGATTCCAGGTGGAGTTTAAACATTTTCTGATTTTTTGGGGTCTGTTTTTAGCGTTCGATTTGATTTTTATGAGTTTTCTTTTCCCTTTTTCGACTCATGGTTTACGCTTTGCTGTTTTGAGGTCCTTATATTTTGCTCATTTTTAATTTTATTGTACAAAATGTTATACGGATATGTATTCTTTGTGGCTCGATTTATTTTTCTTAGGTATCATGAGTTCGTCCTTTATGTCCAATACACTTTTAACGCTATTCAATTTCTTTGTCTAATGTGTGTTCTTGTTTAGAATTCCCAAAAGATGATTCATGAATTTAACGATTGTTTTGGGAATGGGATGAAATTTCAAAGGAAATCTGATTATATGATTTTATTGATACAGGATTCAACGTCGGTCCTCAAAATTTGAGGCTCTAGGCGATAAGTTGTTACGATACACTTAAATATGAATGAAATGAATACTTTTAAAATAAATAATTTATTTTTAACTTTCATAAAAATTAATTTATAAATTTTAAAGAAAATTTATAAGCTTAGCAAAAAAATTACAGAGAATCTTTTTTTTAATCGACTTTTTTCCTAGATTTTGGTAAATAGAAAAGAGAGAGAGAGAGAGAGAGAGAGAGCATTAGGTAATAGTTTAATTGTATACTCATTTTATTCCTTAAATCAAGAATGTAAGTTAAAGTGTTCAAATACTTTGGGCCTCTTATTTAGTCACATTTTGTTGTTTTGTTGTTGCCTTTTAAAAGACTAAATGGCTCAATTCAAAGAAATATAAAGGAAAACTTTATTAGGCCTAGATTTCTTTTCTTTTTTTTAGGCTCTTAAGATATTGAGGTCCAAGGCAATGGCCTAGTACGCCTTGGCCAAGAGCCGGGCCTTCAAGCTTAATATATACGATTATAGGCCATTGCCTTGGGCCAGGGCCGGGCCTTCGAGTTTGATATTCCCTATTAATTACTAATTTTGAAAATAAAAATTCTAGTAAAATGAAAATTTGGGGGAAAAAAATTAGGTACATGACCTAATTATCACTAATTTTGACTTTTTAATAGCGTATAAGTGCCCACTTCCAACCAAACAAAAGCCTACCTGTTCTTAGTGGCATCAAATGGGTGAGTTACCTGATAAGTATATTTTGCACACTTATTTAGGTCATTAAATTGAAATATTTGTTAGTGATTTAGATGAATTATAGTTTAATTATGTGTTAATTATATTTACTATGTTGAACTCAATATAAAATAGTGAAATTGGAAGAAAGAAGGAAAAATGAACGAAAAACGACAAAATTTAAAGTTTGGGGGTGGGGGGGGGGTGATGTTGAGGGGTTGATTTGAACCATAAAACAATGATTGAAAATCACAGAGAATCAATTGGATCCAATTGGAAATCAAATGAGTGAAATATACTTAAAGTCTTTTTACAAATCAATTTCCATCCAAAAAAGTAGTCCCAAATTGAGACCCATTTTTTGGACAGTAAATTATGGAAAGATATGATTAGATCCTTGAAAATAGAAAAAATGTTTAGAATGTTGTAAATTAATTGACATCATTTGTAATATATTCTTGAAGGAAAAATATGATTATGCAATATTAATTACTAATTTTGAAAAAAAATTCTAGTAAAATATAAATTTGGGGGGAAAAAATTAGGTACATGACCTAATTTCACTAATTTTAACTTTTTAATAGCGGATAAGTGCCCACCCCCAAGTTCCCACCAAACAAAAGCCTACTTGTTCTTAGTCGCGTCAAATGGATGAGTTACCTGATAAGTGTATTTTGTACACCTATTTAGGTCATTAAGCCACTGTTTGACACACATTAAAATTTTCATTATCATTCTTCTATTCATTTTCAACCGTACATTATTCAATAAAATAATATTTTTCATCGCATCAATAACTTTTCCTTATTTTTCAATCACACATTCTCCATTAATCTACTATTCCAAAATACATTCTTCCAAAATAATGTGGTTCAAACACACCCTAAATTGAAATATTTGTTAGTGATTTGGATGAATTATAGTGTAATTATGTGTTAATTATATTTATTAGGTTGAACTCAATATAAATTAGTGAAATTGGAAGAAAGAAGCGAAAATGGATGAAAAACAATAAAATTCAAAGTTTGGGGTGGGAGGGGGGGGGATACAAATATTCACATAGAATCAATTGGAAATCAAATGAGTGAAATATACTTAAAAGTATTTTTACAAATCAATTTCCATCCAAAAAAGTATAATTTAGATTTTTAGTTCCAAATTGAGACCCATTTTTTGGATAGTAAATTATGGAAAGATATACACCCATAAATTATGGAAAGATTAGATTAGATCCCTGAAAATAGAAAAAATGTTTAGAATGTTGTAAATTAATTGACATAATTTGTAATATATTCTTAAAGGAAAAATATGATTATGCAATATTAATTACTAATTTTGAAAAAAAAATTCTAGTAAAATGAAAATTTGGGGGTAAAAAATTAGGTACATGACCTAATTATCGCTAATTTTAACTTTTTAATAGCGGATAAGTACCCACACATTCTTAAAAATACATTAGTCACTAATTTTCATTCTTAAAAATTTTAACTTTTTAATAGCGTATAACTTTTTGAAACATTATTTTTCATTCTTTTCCAACCACACATTCTCCATCAATCTACTATTTCAAAATACATTCTTCCAAAATAATGGGGCTCAAACACACCCTAAATTGAAATATTTGTTAGTGATTTTGATGAATTATAGTTTAATTATGTGTTAATTATATTTGTTAGGTTGAACTCAATATAAATTAGTGAAATTGGAAGAAAGAAGCGAATATAGACGAAAAACAACAAAATTCAAAGTTTGGGGGTTGGTAGATGATGATACCAATCCTGGAGAGTTACCCAAGCAGAATATCTCGAGGAGCGCGTGTCACTTCTACGCCAAATCAAGCCCGATCTCCTCGGGTTCATACTCCTCGAGGTCGGGCTCCGTCTAAAGAGCAAAGTCCTTATGAGAATGTGTTTCCTCATTCTAAGAGGATTCTATTACTAGAGTCACATATCCATACAAACACGTAGGTAATGCGAAATCAACTACACTACAACTCCCAATTGCACCAGGAGTCCTAGATATCTCAACATTGTAGTCCTATTGAGAGTCCCCCACTCACCTCTATAAATACACCATTCACATTCATTATCAGGTATGTTTTTTACACAATTTACAGCATATATTATCTTCATAAGTTCCCTCTCTGACTTAAGCACCGGAGGGGCGACGAGGACACACCTCGACGCCTTTGTTTCAGGTACCAGAGGACATTGTTCGTGCTCATTCTCAGTCGTCAAGCTCGAAAGTCGACAGGTACGATTTTTGGTAGCATCATTGGCGCTGTCTGTGGGAAACGCTACCAAAAGCCATGGTCAACACACGTTCAGATCTTCGTCCAACGACTTCATCCCCACTAAACCCGCCACCGGTGGAGGAGCCCCAGGAACATCACAAGGAATCATCTACAGCACCAATTGCCCAGCCACAGGTGGTGGATGCAGCTACCTTTGAAGAACTTCGGCAGCAAGTGACGATTCTGACCCAAGTTCAAGCTTCCCCGAATGAAGGAGTATGATGGGACAACTGATCCTACCAACCATCTCAACGTGTATACGGACGTCATGAACCTCCAGGTGGCACCAAACCCCGTAATGTGTAAAGCTTTTCCACAAACACTGACAAACGCTGCTAGGGATTGGTTTTCAACCCTGGAGACCAATTCCATTGCCACATTCTCTGACCTGGCCGACAAGTTCTCTGCTTTCTTCGCCAGTAGCAAGCGCATCAGGAAGACGGCCG